ACATCCTGTAAAATTAAGAGACTTTGTTGTATTTTAATTTTTTGTTTGTAAATTCTGCACATTTAATTAAGTTATTGTTAATTATCTATTGGTTTAATGTAAGTGGGTATTTTTCGGGACGAACAATACTAAGGAAGGGGCAGTGTTACGACAGCAGAAGTCGCACGACACTAGAAGCATGCATGCTGGAGTTTCTCGAATTATCAGAGAACCCGCGAATGTCCGAGTGTTTGCTAGATGCCTTCTTTTTTTAGTATATAAGCCTGGCAAAGAAAGCCAGCGAGATAGATAGATATAGATAGATAATTAAAGAAGCAAACCGTAGTGATGGTAAGTAAAGTGTGTGTGAATCACTGTGATTTATAGTGTATATTATAAAAGTTGTTAAGTTTAAAGTGACGAGAAATGTACTAACTGTGGAATTACTGTGTACTAACAGTTTGTAGCGAGAAAGAATAAACTGGTTTAATCAAGAAAGTACTTGTATCGCTGAAGTTCCTCTGAAAGAATTGATACTGGAAATCAACAAACAAGCAGATACGCAACAGAGGCAAAGAAAAGTTTAACATATGAAATGAGTATAGAAGTAGTTATGAGGATAGGCTTGATTGTTACTGTTGTAATGCTAGAAGTATAAGAAATAAAATAGATGACTTTAGAGCACTGGTTGGAATGGGATGATTTTGATGACAGAAATTGCTTTGAAATACAGGGTTAGAGGCTTTTTAATAGGGATAGAGTATTAAAGAGGGAGGAGGAGTGGCCTTATATGTTAGATATGAGTTACATCCCTTTGAAGTTGAAGATGTCAAAATAATAGCAAGAAGAATGAATCCATTTGGATTTCTATTAGTGGATATCAAGGGAAAAGGCTTTTAGTGGGAATTTGTTACAAACCATCAGATGATATCGATGAAATTAGTGAGAAACTTTACATTGAGATTAAGATTTCAGCTGTTAATGAAGTCATTATTATGGGTGATTTTAATTTCAAGCATATAGATTGGGAATTGCTGGAGCCAAACCATGAGGGAGAAAGGTTTGTGGAAACTGTTCATAATGGCTTTCTTCACCAATTACTCAAGGAACCTACTAGAAACAATACTATCTTAGATTTATTGTTAATTGCAAATATAGAAATGATCAAAATTGAGGAACATCTGTGTGCAAGTGATCATTGCTCTATTAGGTTCAATGTTTTGTTGCATATGGAGATAAGGAATAATGATATTTTAGTTACAAATTTTGAAGGGATGTGACAAGAAATATCTGTTGTGAATTGGGCAGTTGAGCTATTTGGAGACACTGATCAGGCGTGGAAAATGTGTAAATATTCAAGGTAAATATGTCCGTTACAGAAATAAAAAAGGGTAGCTGCAAGTAAAATACCAGGTTGGCTTACAAAGAGTTTAAGAGATAAAATTAAAGAAAGGCATAATAAGTTTAACAGATTTAAATTGACTGGTATGAAAGGTGATTTAGAAGGTCAAGAAAGTTGATGAAACAGGAAATTGGGACATCAAAAGGATGTATGAGAAAAGGTTGGCTGAAAATGTAAAAATTAACAGTAAGGATTTCTTTAAATACATTAAGGGTAAATAAAATGTTAGGATGGGGACAGGACCCTTGAGGGATGATAAAGGAAGGCTTGTATCTGATGATTATGAGATGGCTGGGTTATCAAATTTTCTTAATGAATATTTAAGCAGTATTCCACATCTTGATCAGTTGATAAATG